AAAAAAAAAAAAAAAAAAAAAAAAGGCATCCACAAATTTCAATCAATATCTTGGATGCATCACTTTCCTACCACTGTAAAATTTTGCACAAATATGTGTTGATCCATCACAATCTGAACCCAGGTTGTAAAGAAGAATCGGTACAAACTTCACTCTCCAGACAGGCAAAGCTGATGGAGACATACAAAAAAAAAATATATATGCTTGTGATGTGAAATGTGGTTTAACAGAGTATTAACTGAAGAGGAAAAAATACAGCTCGACAATAATGTCAGCAGCTTCTACATTATGCACAATTTAATGTTGGTACATAACTTAAAATCCAAATAAGATGCATTAAATAGTGTGTTTGTAATTGGATTTGACTTCTGCATGTGTAAGGACTTTTGGGACATGTGAGCTCCTTACACAGCTCTGGGCTAAACTAAATGCACTCCAAACTTCAGGAAAAGCGTGCACAACACTTTGAAGGAGTTGCTCATTTTGAGTGAACACCCACAACACCCAAGCAAGTCTAATCAAAGCCTCACGCCCTATCCTGTTATTTTCTACACTCCCCAATACACCACTCAATGTTTTCTACACACCCTTGCAACTGAAAAGGAAACACCCATGTTGCATTAGAGAAGACGCGCTTATATGCTGAACATGAGCACTCAATGTGAAGACATATGAACACAGGAAGTGCAACCAAAGCCTCGGACAACACTTTCCCTCTCCATGCCTTTAGGCTACAGCATCCTGCTGATGCACTCAGCCTCATGAATGGACTGTACACAGACTGTGGAGAAACAATGGTGCCTTGTGGGTGAGTGACCTGTGCGGTCAGACAGATGTGGTCAAGTAAACAACAAACTCAAAAACACTCGTCTTAAAACTCCACTCATTAACCAGACGAGCGTGTCAGAAGAGGAACACTTAGGAAACTGGTGTTATCAGTTTCCACATTTTAGCCTGTTGGGCGTGCACACACATCAACGCTCGCAAAAAATAAAAAAATAATAAAAATAATTCACAACTTATTTATTGATGAATATATGTAAACTGTTCGTCTCACCAAAAAACAAAACAAACAAACAAACAAATGGTTTTAGATACCCGACAAAGCACTAGCCGCACATGATTTAAACACGAATTAAATGCCAGCATCCCCCTCAGGCTTCGCTACAGACTACAAAACACCTTTGTACAGAGAACGTACCTGAATAAAAGCTCGACCAGGACAACCCCAGCTGTTCCTCTACCGGGCAGCCATGTCTGTTCGATCAGCTTTAAGCCGTTTCACCGAGAGCGAGGTGGCATTATTCGGCGCTCACAGGTTACTTTACTGCCGCGCTGACAGGCAAAGGCAAACATTGAAGGAGGCGGAAGACAAGGAGGGTGTTTCTCTACGATGGTGGGGCTGAGTTTTGGTGCATTTGGTGTCGCGGTTGGATAACGACTCGGTACCAGCTCCGTTTCTGTGACGTCGGCGTTAAAGCTGCGGTCACGTGACTACCGTGTAAACTCACTGAAGCCCGCAGGAGGTATAATAAAGGAGTCGCTGAATCACGTCTCTACCGTTTTCTGCCCCACTTGGTTTCACTGAACTCAAAAAGATAAATGTATGTTGGTTTAGGCAAAGCAATATAATATCAAATTTAAAACACATTTAGGTAGAAAAATCACACGCCATTTTTATGTGTCTTTTGTATTTGCCAGTGACGCATGAAAAAAAACACATGCATGTTAAAGTTAGATATTAAGTGCTGACTCCATAACACCTGTACTTCAAAAATACACAGAAACATTTTTGTTTCTCTGTCTAAGATTGTATCAAACAAACAGACTAGGCTTACAGTCAGGAGGATCACCAAAATTTAAACTCCTTGCTGGTTTTATGCTCTACATCTGTAGCAAACTTCTAAAAAAAAAAATGCAAATATGCTCAAACACAAAAGCTAAAAAAAAACATGCCTTCAATTAATAAAATCTGAAACATTATTAATTGTAGTCTGTGTTCCAACTTTTCATTACTGTACTGCAATGTAATGTTTTCATCATGTAAAGCGTGTTGAATTGCTGAAATGTGCTATACCAATAAACTTGGCTTTAAGTTAACTGTGTATATTTAAAGAAAACACATCAGACACACAACTGCCTTGTGTGTCAAGAACAAAAAGAAAGCAGACAAGATTATCAAGAGGAAAAAACGTGATTCAAACTGGGACAATTTGATGTCTGATGGTGAAATGTCCAAAATGAGCACATAAACCCAGCTGAACAGAGTATCCTTACAGTGACACACATCCCTGAACAAAATGGGATGAAAGCCCCGTCTGAGAAGAAACAATTACTCCAACAATGACAAAGCCAACAATGGGTGAGCCTTGCAAACCTGAGCATGAAAATAAAGCTTATATGGAAATATCAGCAAAGTTTGGACACAATTGGGCATATTTATACTAAAAATCTGATTGTAACTACATGCAACAAGGCTCGACTTGAATTCTGGGTAAATATAATCAATGGCACCACATTAAACTGGATGTCTTTCCCCAACAAAAGAATGACAAGCCACATCTCCCAAATTAAAACTAGACATAAAAAATCGGTGTAATCAGGATTTACTTATTCTCATCATTGTGTATGAAATTGGCCAAGAGGTGGCCTAAAAGCAGTTTAAATAAATGCATTTTTCTCTCCTTCAAATCACTGACGCCAGCAAAAAACACTGTAAAGCAAAGCAGTTAGTCGTTTTAGAGCAATACAAAATCTTTAAATAAATATAAAAGTTACTAATCCAACGTCAGCTGATTACGCATCCAGTTGCTACTTTTAGTGCAGCTGTGCTACACGAAGTGTGACGTCAATGTATGCTTAACCCTGATAGCTCAATTCAATAAAACAATTCTAAAAGCAAAACTAAAACAATTTACCGCAAAGCCAGGAATTAGCCCATAAATACAGACATATATACAGCAAACATACGAGGCAAAATTCAAACGTTGCGTCTTTCTTCTCCAATAAATCCAACTTACCCTGATGTACTCCACCTGATGGGCACCTGAAGACAATTTAGTCCAACAAGTTTTACGAATTTCCTCGGCGAACTCGCGTGGTTGAATTTACGGTTGTAAACAAATATTTGCATACATTTTAAAAACACGCTTTTCATTCTAACACAGGACGTGCATGCACGTTTTCATGGCGTTACTATTAGACCGAAACAAAGTTTTACGTGCAACACTAGTTCAATGTCCCGGACAGGGGAAAAAAAAAAAATGTCACTGAACTTCCTGTTAGGAGCATTCACGGACGTTCGGAAATCTGAATACTTTAACACTATCCCAAAAAGTTGTAACATTTCGATAAGGAATTGTTTAAACGGACATTTTATGGTAATCATGAAGTGATAGTGAGGTTTCACTTTGGAAGTCAAGAAATTTCGGTTAACCCGCACGTCCAAAAACTATAAAACCTACCTCATCTATTTTTAAGAAATGAAATATTGGCATTCTGAAAAGATCTAACTAAAACAGAAGAATGAAATTTAATCACTTCAATACGACTCATGTAAATGTAAAGGTGTCCAAGATAATTAAATTAAAGCTTCTGATAAATTATGGATCCTCAACCAGCATCAATGGGAAAATGTCAGTTTTTGTCTACAAAGCTTGAACTATTCACTGGGAAGTCGCTTCCACTCTAGAAGTCAGGACTTCACTTGCACTTTTGAAACCTATTAACCATTATTTTAACGCGCTTTTTGCAACAATGAATTACATGCGTAATTTGTTTATTAAGCTTACGAATTAAATTGTCTCCTAAATACTGATTTAAGATTGTATGACCCCACTAGGTCACCTCAGATATTAGTGAGGCTAAATGTAAGAATTTTTTTTTTTACCTCATGAAATATTATATTAAAGAGATAAAAAAAAAAAAACACAAGTCTTGTTGTTACCAGTTTCTTTATATAAAAACGTTATATTAGTACAAAAAAAAAACTGAAAAGAAAAGCAACTCATAGGTGTGGGCCTTTTATGCACAGATATTATTACCCAGTAATATCTGTGCATAAAAAGGGGCCAAAAATCACAAAATTTCTTGACTAAGCTACAAACAATTCTACACATTTTTATTCCAGAGATGGACATAAATCAAAAGCACCAACGTTCCAGATGTTTTGGATGATTGTACTTGAGCTGTCAAGCTGAAGGTTTTTGTTTGCTTATTTTAAGCAAAGTGAAGTATGTCCCTGTATGTGAAGATGAGACAAAAAGATGAGATTCACGTCCAAGACGACGCGTCTCCAAACCGAGGCTCATTTTGGATTCAGAGGAGAGGGCCAATACAAACCATTCTTGTCTGATTTTTGAGTGCCTTTCAGTGCTCTTTATGATCTCCGTCCTCCTCGAGCTTCCTGATCTCTCCCTTCAGGTGATTGATGTTTTCCCTGCTGGCTTTCAGCCTATCTTTAAGCTCAGTGATTTCTTGGCTCGTTCTCTTCTTTGCCGCTTCCAGTTTCTCCTTTGTCCTCTGTTCCAGTTCGCCAACTGGGAAAACAAACAAAGGCCATGCTCAGAAAGGCAAAGACTGCTGCAATGTGAAGTAGACTTTCCCCCTTCACTTTCCTCTGGAAACTGTGATCATAAGGCTAAACAGCAACATTAACACACACTTGAGTTGTTACTACTCAACATACGAGTACGTACACTCTGTCTCATGCTTATAAGCTCCGAGGGTGAGTTGTCTGGATGTGGTCAGCAACTGTTGCATCATGGCTGTTGGATCCTGAAAAATCTGCAATTCACATAGTATTAAATAATAATTGATAAGCAAGAACACGGAGATGAATCCAATAGTATTCAAGAACGTAAGTTGTACCATTTCGTCATAGAACTCAGAGACGACCGTTTTCTTCGGCATGGCGCTGGAATCTGATTGGAACAGCTTCAGCAAATGGTACAGAGTAACCTTTGACAAGAAAACAGAAACAGACAAAAATCATATCATTTAACATTTTTATTAATCGAAAATAACATTTTCGATTTCAAAATGTCACACTTTTCAGGCCCAAAGAGGATGTAGTCACAAAGAATGACTCAAAAAAGGACATTAGAAAGGTGGGTGTATAAAAGGATAGCAGGAAAGAAGGAAGGAGGAGTAAGTAGAAGAAAAGTAAGAATTTTTTAGGTTAGGTTGCAGGAGATCGCTGTGGGAGAGAGAAGGGACTCAAGTATATGTCAACAACCTTTGATAATGATATATATGGAATAAAGTCTAGAAGTAGGTATTTTTTCATCCTTTGTGTCCTTGAAACCATTTTTAGTGCATTGTTCAGTTTTAACCACATTCTACTTAAGTACTAATGAGACAAATTAATCTTGGATTTAAAGCTATCCAAAGTTCAAACATAGCCGTCCTTTTCGAAAATCTTAATGAATCCATGCTTAGTCAACAAGTTCAAAAGAGGGTGGAGGGGGGAGCTGCAGGATAAAAGCAAAAATCTGAGATAAAGCATGTATGAAAATATCCCATTTATTAGACATTATATGGTTTTATTTGCCCATTAGAAAAAAAAAGAGGGGGGGGGGGAAAGCAGGAAAAACAGACCACTTTTCCACCAAACAACATTTCTACTCCCTGCTTGGATACGTTACTTACAGGTCTCTCATTAGGGTCAATAAAGAAGATCTTGATGATGATTTCAAACTCTCCCCATCCTGTCTCTGTAATCTCATATGGAGGCTTTGTGACCACTAGAGGAGAGAAGAATGACAACGTTAGCAGACTTGCAGTGCCTTGTAAACAAAAAAATATGCAAGGAGATCAGTATGTATGTATCACTGTGTGCTGAATCAACGTGAAACACCATCCCCCTCCTAATACACGGTGGTGGCAGTATCATCTTTGTAAAAGGTTCTGTTGTGACCTTTACAGAGTGGGGAAAAATATTGTACAACTTTTTGACCAAAGATTTTAAAACTTTGTCTTACCTCTCAAGGGGTTTACATAGCTCTCGTGTAACTTGAACTGGATCTTCTTTACATAAGCAGACATATCCTGGGAGAGTTAAGATCAATAAACTTAATTTTACGTCAATAAATACCACCATTTTAGGACATTTCTTTTCTAATGATCCCACACCTCATTTCTGTAGGGTTTCACATAGACAGACCACTGATGTGTGTGTCCATCCTCCTCTCTCTTCTTTCCAAAGTAACGGGCAACATTTCCAAACACAATGGGCTTCACTATCGTCACTCCCTGAAAGAAAAACACCATAAAAGTTGAATATGGACAATTTTACTGATCACTTCTCGAGAACACTGCGAGGGTTAAAAGTGTCAGAAAAAGGAACCAAGTGACTGTATTTTTATCGAACAGAAAACCCAAACTGTGAATATATCAGATTTTAATTGATCTGAAACATTCTTTATCTTTACCTTAACGCGCCCTCCGGAATCTGGTCCAAATTCAGTCATCTTTTTGAACATAGTATTCCGAGAACAGGTTTTAGATAACAGTGTGGGACTCTCTAGACGTCTATTCTACTCCCACTACTCGTTTCCAAACCCATTTGATGGGCCATTTAAGCGTGCAGTGCCCATTATATGCAACAAAACGGCATTGTAGCATAGGCGGAAATGACGCTAGAAACGTGTTCACCTTCCGGTATGAACGAAGGCTGAATATAAAGGTTCCACCACAGGGAATGTAAAAAAAAAAAAAATAATAAAAAACTGCATGATTTTTAATGGTTCACCTAGTTTCTAAATGTAAAACCAGGTTCTACCTAAACAGTCTAGTAAATATGTTTGACTTTTCTTGTGCATGCTTAAAATTTTTTATCTTAAAGTACCAGAAATATGTATTTTCATAATGTAACATCTTTTCACCCGCACAAAATATACTATTTACGATTTTAAAAAATATTTTTCTTAACTACTGATATCAGCTGGAGATGTTTTTCGAAGCTTTTATAATAAAATGTTCAACTTTACATATTTACCGATCGGGGAAACTCGTTTTATTTTGCCTCATTTTGCCGCGTATCAAGACATGTCTACTGAAATCATCAGAAATTAGTTAATACCTACATTTCTGGCTTTTGAAGACCATTGCTTTGATTTTTAGATATACATTATAGAGGTATGAACTTAGAAGTTTTTGTCTCTTCGCTCGTTTTACATCAGCCCACCACCGATGACTGTTTTCAAACCTAATCACCTTACATAACCGGATTCTGGTCAAATAATACAAGCTTTACCTTCTTTTATAAACCAGGAGTCTCGAACTATGGGACAAAATTTAACTTTAAATGTAACTGCCACACAAATGAATTCTACCACATTATCTCTCATATCATCCAAAAATCAAAACTTTTCGAAATTTTGTGTCATTTATTGAATGGTGAGACGCTTGAAACTCCTTTCAAACTGCATGCTCACTACTGAGGGCCCAAGAGGGCCCTCAGTAGTGAGCATACCACCTAAAATGACTTGGCACCTTCTTTTAACATAATGCTGTGGGATGTAATCCCACGCAGTTTTTGTTGCAAGTTGCCCAGTGTAGTGGTTGCGTTTACTCTGGTATGAACTCTACACTCGAACTGATCACGTTTGATTTAAGTTGGTCCCAGTTTTCACTGATTACTCCTTTCTCTGCACCAATTGCCTTAAATAAGAAGCTCCATTACTCTCGTGGGACCGATGAGGCACAACATTCTCACTTTATCCCCAACAATTACAGAAGCACAATAATTAAGATCACAAGCCAGTGACATTTTTGTGTGGTAGAAACTAATATATTTTCAAATTTTGCATTGACCATGATCAACTCTGCATATTATTTCCCAAAAATAACCCACATTTCTTATATTTGTAGTTGGCCAATATTTGAAACTACAATTTAGTCCACTATAAGTTGCTATATGGTGCTTTAATATTTAAAACTGCAGACATTTTCGATATTAAGTACAAATGAAACAAAAATTTAATGCAAAAGAATTTTATTTGTAAAAATCAGCAATGTGAATCTACCACCACCGTGTTCCTATGGCAAATACTTCATCCCAATTAAGAGTTTCACAATAAATAACCCACAGTATGCCAAACCGTCCCACTGAACTGTATTATGAGAAAGATCATATGAAATCAGTTTTTTTTAATTGCCCACTTATTTCCCAATTCTGTTCTAGGGAGAAAACATGGTTAGTTCAAATAAGACTATTACATATATACAATAAGTTAAATTGAACATAAATTGAAAACATTAAAATGGTTACTTTTTATGGTTTGTGTAGTGTCTTGCTCGAAGCAGCGGCCATTCAGGCTGTTCCTTACTTCTTGTCCAGGGCAGGCAGACCTGACAACACTTACCTTTTTGCTGTGGATAAAGGTTGGCACAAAACTGACCTACACTTTAACCAAAACTCAAATGATTTGTCTTATAGCTCTTAACATGCTTATGTACATTAAAAACAATTTTAGATTATTTTTTCTTTAGATACAATATAACAGGACAAAAACATAAGCCAATCACACTTTAACAATTTCACTTTAAGATTTTTTTTTGTTTCGATTAAAGTGCCATTGTCATTAAACGACAAAAACGTTAACCAAATTTCTGGCGCAAGTGTAAAAAAAATAAAATAAAATAAAAATTCTACTTACCGGTTCACTAAAAATCTAATACACCCGACTCCATTACTATTAACAGAGTTAACAGGGTCATAACAGAATATGAATATTTGTGAGTACAAAACACAATACAACACACCGACCAAAAACATTCTGCAAGAGCATCGTCAGGATACACGTTTGCGCTCAAATTGTCACGAGCAATCTTAACGTTTTCCTGTTTCCCCCAGTTAACACTTGAAATGTAAAGATCTCAGATTATGTCAAAAATAAAATTAGGATGAGATGGTAATAGTAAGGCAATGTCAAGTGGAGAATAAAATCCAAATACAACAAAAGTATGTTTCCCCTTTAACACCTGCCTATATGGATATGTGACTTCAGTAAAAAAGGGAAAAAACATACTATATTTTGAGGCACGGTTGGAGCAGCTCTAGATTCTTAACATGGATTAGCATTTTTTTTTTATTTTTTTTTTTAACAATTTTATTCTCTTAAATTCAAAGATTGGCAAAGACTTACAATTCAAAAAGTAAATCTGTATTGAAACAAATACAGCTATTTTACGTCGCAATTCAAAATTTGGTCTCAGACAGTAAAAAACAACAAAAAAGCAGAAGTTTTTAAAAGAATTTCCTTAAATGTAAAAAAAATAAATAAAAAAATAAAGATATATAAGACAAACTGACAATCACAGTGACACAAATGCAACACATCAACAGGATGGGTGGTGAAGTGAAAGAGAGGCTGCTGTTAGTGGCAATCAATCCCATTCTAACATTGCGTTTTAAAAACATTTCAATCTTGTTCTGATCACAGGTTTACATGCACTCATCATGGGCATTGATGTCAATAATTTGGAGAATTGGCGATACATCTGGAAGCATATTTTAAGGGAAATATCTGGAAGCAAACTACAAATTTCTCCAAAAATGAAGCTATTCACAGCATCAATTGGCTTGCTCAACTGTCAAGCATGGTGTTGGCGGCATTATGTTACGGGAGTGGTTCACTGCAAGTGGGTGGAATAGATAAACCACTTGACTTTCACACAGACAAAAGGCTCAATGTTTTAGTCAAGAAGCTAGTTTCTGATCGAACTTCTCAAACAGCCTTGGTTAGAACATTGTTCAATATTTATGTACTACCATTAAAAGCTCAGTGACGAGGAATAAATTCAAATGATTTCCAGTTAGAGCTTCTAATATTTGATCAGAATTATGAAAGCAGCTGATGGATGACTACAAAAATGCTCAAAAAAAAAAAACATCCTGAAAAAGCCCCAAATGAATGACAGTCCATGAAAATGAGCGAATGTAAACATCTCTTCTAACTTGCATTCGACACTAACCAGTTTTTACAACAATGGAATCAATTAATGTAACAATATTGCTCACCATGATGAAAACGTACCACAAACATTTTTGTCTTCATCACTTTTGGTAACAACTATCCAGCATAATTACATGTGAAGCAGCGCAGCAAACGGCAGCAGGCTTTTTTTTTTTTTTGATTTACGGCGTGATTTTCCAAAAATGATCTGAATGCCTCTAGGAGCGTCCATTTTGGCTCACACTGCATCGTCTGTTCACATTTGAAAATACATTCTACTCGAGTCTTACCTTGGAAAAAATCCCATCCATTTGAAGAGAAACAAAATGTCAAGGAAAAGGATCACTTACTTGGTGAAATTTGGAATTGTAAAAAATAAAATAAAATAAAATCAGTGCAAAAATACATTTAATATAAATGAAACAAAACATGTAGAGAAATTCACCAGATGAGTGGACCTCAAACATTTTTTATTACAACACCATCTAGTTTTTCATTCAAAAATCAGACATTTACAAACATACTAACCAGGAAGAAATGAGAATGAGAGAAAGAGAGAAAACGTCAAACATGAACCCTATAAAAACTTGCCTATATTGAATTTACATAGTACAGCGAGCCAAAAAAACAAACAAAAAAAATCAACAAATGAAACGAACTTGATGCTTGTCTTCTATTTTTTTAGGGTCGCAGAGCCATTTTATTGTTTCTTTGCAAAAACAAAAAACAAAAAAAGAAGAAAAAAAAAAAAGCATCACACATACTAGTCTTTATGTCAAACAAAAACAAAAATAAAAGAACTGCTTGGAAAGTTTTCTTTCATCTTCAGTTATGAATATAGACATTTGGACAAAAGCCTTACATAGATGAGGGTCCTCCATCCACTGCTCTTAAGTCAGGCAGACAACAGAGAGAGGGGGATGGGTGGAGAAGGAAAAGAGAGGAGACATGGAGGGGGGTGCAGGAAGAGCTGGTAGTTGTAGTCCTGTCCGGTCATGCAGGGTGAGCGGGGGTGACGGTGTACAGAGAGCGTTCCTCCTTTTTCCTTCCATCCTTGATCCACGTGAGCTGAAAGGTGTCAAAACGAAGGGTGCAGTTTGGTTTGGAGCCAGCCCAAGAAGTAAACACTCCCCCACTCACCAATAAACCTCTACGCTACAGAATGTGTCCACCAAGGCTGGGTTCAATTTACCATCACTTTGAGTCGCGGTGCTAAAAGTTTACATCAGCATAAAGACCGCATCGTGTGAGGGTTACAACAGACGCTGGACAACGAGGCACAATTTTTTTATTTATTTTTTTTTTTTTTTTTAGCAAATTAAGTTGTTTTTTTTTTTTTTCTTTGTTTGGCCTCGGCTGATTGTGAATTGCTCCCAACCCCAGCGCATACACCAGAACATCATGCAAATTTCAACAGAGCAGCTTATTTGAAATGTTTCAGCATGAAGACACAACAGAACATTTAAAGGTGTTCCTTCGATAGTCTAACTTAGATGGCTTGAATCGGAGCCATGTTCAATACATTTATGGACAGAGAACCTCCAGTTAGACATGCAACATTTTAGACTAACGTTTGGTCTTTCGTAAGAGAGCTGACCTTTAGTAAACTCCAAATTCAGGGACGGACATGGAGAAACATGCTGCATACAGTTTAAAACAGCAAAAACTATATTGGTTTATTAAGGTTTAATTTGATACACACAAATTGTTTTGTACAAAAGAAGGATTTGAAAGTGCTACCTTCATACCTTGAGCAAAAAAGATTTTAG